GAGCCGAAGGCAGAGGCTTTAACCCACTGAGCCACCCAGGTGCCCCTGGAGGCCCTCTTTTAATTATGCTTTTAAAAGTGTTCTCTGAGGGGCGCCTGGGTGGCTCAGTGGGTTAAAGCCTCTGCCTTCGGCTCAGGTCATGATCCCAGGGTCCTGGGATCGAGCCCCACTTCGGGCTCTCTGCTTGGCCGGGAGCCTGCTTCCCTTCCTCTCTCTCTGTGCCTCTCTCTTCTGCGTGTCTCTCTGCCTACTTGTGATCTCTGTCTGTCAAATAAATAAATAAAATTAAAAAAAAAAAAAAAGTGTTCTCTGGGTGCGCCTGGGTGGCTCAGTTGATGAAGCATCTGCCTTCAGCTCAGGTCATGATCCGGGGGTCCTAGGATCGAGCCCCATGTTGGGCTCCCTGCTCCCAGAAGCAAACTCTGGGAGTCTGCTTTTCCCTCTCCTGCTCCCTGCTCGTGTTCTCTCTCTCTCTTTCTCAAATAAATAAATAGAATCTTAAAAAAATTTTTCTTATCAAAGTAACATGTTTTTCAAATTATTCTGCTAACCATCCTGTTTATATTTTGGAGTCTTGACTTCTGGTTTTTTCCCCTCAGAGAGTTGAAGTAAAATAATATCTTAGAGACCTTCTTTGCCACCGCCCAAATCAGGTGGGGGTCTTCACAGCCCAGGAGAGAGGGTCTGGCGTTGGTCCCTGGGAGACCTGGCTCTGGACCCTCCCTCCCCCAACTCCTCACCTGGAGTCTCACCTGTGCCTCTCTCAATGCTCTCCCCGGGGCCTCTTCTTCTTGGTCCTCCCAGCCTGACCCAGCTATGTCCCCCTCCCAGCTTCCGTCTCTTCTTCACACGTGACAGGCTGGAGGAAGGGGAGCATGGGGCATTATTCCCAGCAGGGTCTGTGGGCGTATTCTCCTATGTCTCTCAATTCTCTACGGGACTGTTGAAATGTTCTGCTTTTAATTTGGTGACAGTCTTGTTGACCAAATACTGGTCTGCAATTTCAAAGCCGGGGTTTGTGCCTGTTGTAGAAAGTCTGGGTGCAAATTTTATGCCTAAAGTTACAGCTTTTCCAGCTTGGTCTTGGCCGGATGTAGGGGATCATATGTTCTCAAGTTTGAGAAACAGTGGTAAGCATGAGCATGTGGTCTGAAGGGACAAAATCCTAAGTATGCTGAGTCCAGGAAGGAGGCAGTAGCCTGGGTCCTGATTCCTTTTTACTTTAGATCTTGTGGTTTACAGAGTGAGCCGTTCCCTCTCTCAGAGGTGGTTGTATCCCGTGAATGACACCACCTCTCTCTCTGGCTCCAGGCTTCTGAGTGTGATGTCCTTCCTCTTCTCAGGCTCCAACTTTGTCAGACCTCCAGAGCTCAGTCTGCTCCTACCCCGAGGGGCCTCAGACTGCCTTTGTCTTCCAGGACCCTACCAAAGCCAGAGCACAGTTGAAATGCTTTCCTATTCCCCTTTGCATCCTCCTGACCTTCTACTCTTGTCTCTTGTGCTGCTGCTCAGATCCTGGGCCACAGACAAGACGTTGGGGTGGGTGGGCCTTTGGGGACAGGGGCTGCTCCATGTCAGGGTGGGTGCCCGGGTGGGTGCAGGCGGTTCGTGGTAGTCTAAACAAGCTTCACACTGGGAAGGGAAGGGCTTCCAGCGTCCCACTCTCTGTAGCAGTGGGGTAGGCTGGAGCCAGTTCGAGCCCCCTCCCAGGCAAGCTGCTTCAGCAGTGGCCAAGGGGCAGCCGTGCGACAGATGCTAGCGTGAAGTCTGCTGGTGGGGCTTGCTGGTGCTTCTCCCTCCCAGAGCCACTGCGAGGCACCCCAGAGCTGAGGTGCCACACTCCAAAGGCCTCGTGCTCCTTTGGCTTGTGCTCCTTGCTTGAAGAACCTCTGT